TTGCTGCATCTGTGTCGCAAAAATCGATTGTTGCTCCCGTAGACTAGCATTATCTGCCAAAACATTAGACATTTCTTATCGAAGGTTATAATTATCTGCCTTCAATGATTCAACAGTCTGTTCCAATTCGATAACCTTATTAGACTGTCCTATAATGGGTGGCCTGAATGGTTCTCGTCTAGATGTGCTCACACCCAAGGTTTTGAAAACCAGACCAGATCGGTCGATTGAACCGATTGAACCAATACCCGGTAGTATAAACGGTTCGATTCTATCTTTTAAACCATTTGAAGATCAAACCGTTTGAAAACCAGTAAGAACCATTGGAACCGCTCAAACCAAAAACCGTTCGACCGGACGGTTCAATGCTTGAGAACAAAAGCTTGAGAAATTTGTCCCCCATGAAGCTTGAACTTGCAACCTTGAAGCCTTTTTAGTTTATTCCAACCCTTTGCCACCAGGACAATGCACTCCATTTGTCAATGGATGCTTGAAATTTTATTTATTCTATTTTTAAAACCATAATTATTTAAAGTTTGTTCATTAGGGTACTCGAACCTGTAATCTTTGGTCTGAGAAAACAACCACCTACCATCGCACTCAATGGATATCTTGTGAAATACTTTACAAAATAATATATTTATACTATATTAATGAACTGACAGTTTTATCGGTTAAATCGGTTAAATCACTCAAACCATGAACTGGAGGTCAAAACGGTTTGACCTCCGGTTCGGTTTTAAAAACATTGCTCACACTTATATCCTGTGGATGTGTGTGAATATCCAAACCTTTCAACCATCCTTTCTTGACCCCACCAGTTGCCCTAAGTAATATCTCAGCATGAGGTATTGTAGGGTCAAATCCTTCTTCCTCTTGTTTAGTAGCATATTCAGCTGTCAATTTTTCCTGAAATAATATAAGACAAAATAAATAATTAATTGTACTGAAAATTAAAGTGAAATTAAAAATATCACTTTAGGCACCTAAATTCAATTTACTCTCCCCTAAAAGGATGGAGTTCTAACTTTTTATCAATAACTATATTGTACAATAGTTTAAATATTATA